CAAAAACTTTTCTTTTCATCAGCCTAACACAAAATATATGATATTGCAGTCTGATTTTGCAACCAACTTCAACTCTGAAAGAGTAACACAATTTTCTTCAGTCAGCAAACACTGAGAAGGAGTGTTACGGGGGGAAAAAACTTTTCATTTTTGTACCTGAAGATCCTATAACCCACTTCCTCAGAGAGATGCTACTGTAATATATCCAGGATGTCTTACACAATAGACTGTTTGAAAATATCCACTGTATCCTAATTTTCAGAGATGATGGCTGGCATTAAAAACCTGTTAAATGCATTTTTCTCATATTTAATAGGTCCAACTTAATGCTTTTACACATATTGGAGTAATTTCCTTTAATACTGTAGGATTAAAAAGACTTAAACATATAAAACAATTGTCTTTACATACGAGATCAGGATTCAAGTACATAAAGACAACCCACAAAGATACAGTACAGCCTTGTCCATTAACCAGACACTCATGAAGACCTTATGTTATCCAGCACTAGCTTCCGTACAATACTCACAACTGCTAGACACCTTCATTATTAAGTATTAGACTTAATTCTCTACCACCTATTTAAAGCATAACAGGCTTCTTCCCCCCTTTCTAAAAAAAAGATTGCAATAAAATATAGTAACAGTACTGAATCATGGTGTTTAGTATTAACAAAAATACTAAAGTTGTATGCACTATTCATCAGGCTGAAGTTAATGTCTTGCTGAAGCATAAATATTTATCCAGTGCAAACAGCAGGAAACCTTAGGAGACAGCATGGCTCTAAGCACCAAAGTGAGTTAATTAGTATCCAGTGCCGTTTCAGAGCACATTATGCTATTTTTAATTAAAGGTTAGCCTCCAAATAGAAAAAACTAACAAAACTGTAAAGGATATCTTATCTCTTACCCAAGAGAGCCATCTTTAATAGATATCAAAAGTGTTCAAAATATGCAGTTTCTGTCACTAAGTCAGAATGAGAGAGCTCTTATGTCAATCAGGATGGAATACAAATACTTAGCAGCTTTTGCATCAGCAATAGGCGTGTTTTACTACTCAGTTGGTATTGCTTTTACCTAAATTTATTTGTTATGCTTTGATTGCTGCACAGCATTTCATATCATCAGAAGTTAGAGATAGAAGAACACATACATCTGTTTTGGAGTGATAATCCATTTCCAGCCTTCCTCTCAATAATCAGATGATTCTTCAGCAATGCTGGCCATTTAAAATAAGCTAATAAATGTTTTCATGTACACCCTCGCTTTTCATGGCATTCTCCATACAGAAGAGTGATGATGATTAAGTATCTGTCTAAATTCCGCATGCTTTATTGATTCCAGTTCTAGTAAATAATACTCCTGGTAACAACTGTTTATCGAACCCACTTGCATTACATTTGTACACTACTTAGAAGATACACTGAAGCCTTATAAACAGAGCCCTTAATTCATCACACAAATACACCAACATCCTCCCATTTCTGGAACGGCAATGACAAGGAAGAATCACATTCAGACAATTTCAGTACTCACTTGGGCTGTAAATTATACTGCTTTCATTCACTACCTTCCCAGTTGTTCCCAGAGCATGTAAGTTCATGTGGGGATGAGTCTAAAGAAATCACTGTAAATAACAGTTGCCCTCCCAGACTAAGCCGACATTCTATTTTTATTCAGCTGGTATTGAACATGGTCCTAATTAGGACAAAGGCTTCACAACAGTTTCACCAGAAGTACAAGGAAACACTTTATATCCTGCACTATTTTTAGATGTGCTATAAATTGAGAACTATTACAGTTGTTGGATCTTTCAGATGTTGTTGTTGTGGAAGTTTTTTTAAATCTAATCCATGAGTATTTGAGTTTTCATGCTAACAAAGTTCCAGCACAAATTCTGATAGAAACCTCATGATTTACTTAAACAAATGCAGAAGCATTTCACCCCTTAACTTCATGGAAAACTTTTTAACTTTTACCACCATATTCAAATAACTTCAAACATTTTTAAGTGTCAGTCTATAAAGAAAATCTTGAGAGCATACAGAGGTTCTTCACCTTAAAAGTGTGTGCACACACTTATACATTATAGAGTATACAGAAGATTCTGATCAATGCAGAAGCTAATAAAACATTTTAATGGCATGCAGAGCTTGAGCAGCCTGGAAACTTCAAACATGGCCTTGCAGCAATTGCTACACATTCAAAACATTTTCGTATTTTAGTGCTCCTTGTCTTTAATGGCACTGATCTGACAAATTTAAGTCCTTATCCTGACACCACTTTATTATTGTCTTCCAAGATTACCTCAAGAAGCATTTCAAATAAATTAATCCAGTTTAAGTTTCTAATTACTGATGCTAATATAAAAATGTTTTGATTCCAATACATTCTCCACTCCTAAATGTGTATTCAATATGCCATCATTTCAATTCTGGTAACTGAGGGCAATGAACTGCCATAGTGGCCCTTTTTTCTAGAAAAGAAAGAAAATATAGATTTAAAGAAAAGATATCATGCCTACCATTCTAATTAAGGTGGGAGGTTTTTATACTTGCATAATTAAACAGCACAGCATTGACAAACCAAAAACTGTCATTTTGTTGAGCAGGAAAATTATCAGATGCCAGTAAAACAATAAATATTTGCAGGTACATCCTACCAAGTACAAAGCAACACACTGAAAAACACTGCATATAAAATGCAGGGTTTAAGCACATCATATTTTGATAATACCATGGAAGAAGTCTTAGAGATTACACAGAGCCGCCACTTCAGTCACCGAGCTATTACACCTCAGAAAATAAATAGAAATTTGCAGACTTCAGTTTTTCCAAAGCATAAAAGGTTCAGACTCTAGTCTTCCTAACTTCAAAGACGACACACAGTGAAGGTCATATCATCAGGCTTCTCGTTTCTTACACAGCATGACAGGATATCCTGCTTAAACTTCATGCATATTGCTCCTAGAAGACTGAGTGCTCAGTAACTGGTGATGCTGCAAGTAACACACAAGTGCAGTGATTCATAGGCATGATCTCCAGTTACACTAACAAAACTACCAGCACAAACCCTATGGCAGACTTAAGCATGAGCTTCATATCCAACCTTGAGTTTGTAAGGGAGGAAGCACGCCAGGTTACACAGAGAGTGCATTTGTCTAAGTGACAGCTTGGGAATGAAACCTGACCTGGTGATCAACCTAATGGATTTAAGTCTAAGCTGTTCCCGATATAGGCTTTGTATGCTTGTGGAATGCCCAGGCGAACTTTCTTTAGAGTCCAAGTGCTATGCATTTTAATATTCTCATCAACATGAACATTTGAGCCTCATGAAAGTTTCATTTGAAAGTCTCAAACATAAAGAGTACTCCACAGGCTCTTAGTCCCAAAGGAAAGCCTGGGAACTGTGACTTTTACAAATCATGAAGATTTCTCAAACTATGCATCTTCCACACAACCTGAAACAAAATGGTGTCACATCAGGCCATAAAGAGTATGTTTATTTTCTAATCCAAATAGCCAGACATTGGTCAACATTTGATAACTAACAATATAAGTCTCCAGAATGAAGGAGGTGATTTTCACATTGCATGTGCGAAAGTCAGTGACAAGTTAAGAAAGAACCTAACATTTACCTTAAGGCAGAATTTAATGAAAATATATTTCCTCATGTGAGCATATAGAAAAGATTCAAGACAGTGGAGTTTTACACTAACACATACAAAGAATTTAGACTTTAACTCAGTGACTTACTATTAGGTTTGATACAGTCATAACATATGCGGCAGTGAATGGGCTCTTCTCTCAGCTTCGGGCCAGCTCCATTGTGCTAAGTAAAATATAGATGACACATACCATTTGTAGTGCCTAGCCTTGCAATATCTCACGCACATGCTTGTTTGTGATACAAGTCCTTGCAAAATTAGAATCCAAGTGACTTAACTACCCAGCTATGCCTGTGAACATGTCTACCACAGACTCTCTCAAGTGAAAGAAAACCTTCCCAATTCAGGAGACTATGGCAGAAGTTCAATGCGATTCTGCCTGTGAAAGCCTTTCTCCTTGTAAGAAGCATTCTGAATAGATTTAACTTGCACCTTTAGAACAGCTCAACACTGAATTGCTACAGTTAATAAATGATCCAAAGCAATACTGAACTTCCTCAAAACTGTCACCCCTCTGATAAAAGGCCTGTTAAAAGTACCTCATCTCGCAAAGAGATTATCACAGAAGAGAACCAGCCGAGTTTTGCATTTCAAAAGTAGTATTTTCATACTGTCTTCTTACTCTGGAAGAAAAAAATATGTCCAAATATGATGGATCTAAAACTCACCTTCAAAGTACATTACACTTACCAGAAGTATTTCACCAGTGAAAGTAAAATAGATTGGAAGCTAATTTGACCAAGGTTTACACCACCACTTTTCACAACATAAAAGAACTTGTTGCAAGGTGGAGAGGGCAACAAAAGCAAGGCACTGGCATAGAGGAAGGCATTCTGTGAAAAGCACAAACTTCTGAGAAGACACTATAGCATCTAGCTGCATTATTGGAAGGAAAAACTGCAGAAACGTCTTCCAGACGCAATGAAAAGCAATTGCCATGGTCACTCTACACTTCGCTAAAGAGAACTGCTTTTTGCTTCTTTGTAGTGTCATTTATTCAAGTTGCCTTTAAAAAGAAAACCTAATAACCAAACCTGAATTTGCAGCTAACAAATCTAACAGCAATCACTTAAAAAAAAACCCAACTTTAAAACTTTCATATTTTATTCTTCTGTAGTCATACTCTCACGCACCAGCAGTGTATATTAAACATTATGAAAGATCAACGCTAACAAGACTTAATAATCTTCGAGAACACAAATCTTTTTCTTGTGAGCATAAGGCTTTTTCGGGACAGAGGCAGAATTCAGTTGGACAGCAAACAGACGTGATGGCTTTCAGGATTACAGGGAACAAGGCAAGTCCACGAGCATTACCTCGGCTGTTACCATTACCTTTAAAACACAAAGCACGTGGGAAGTTCCTTCACTTTAACGTGCATGAAGTGAAATAACGAAGCCTACACCGGCACACCCCCCTGCAGTCTGCGGCACTTCCTACTTGCAAACCTCAACCGCAAACTCTCGGCAATTGTAACTGTTGCTGCCACCTCTCGCATCCCTACCCGCGGACACCGAAGTCAACGCGGCAGGGAAAAAAAGACCTAGAGAAGAGATGGGTTAGAATGAACGTATTTCCAAGCGCGCCACTAAACTATACCCCAAATCCTCCCGCGAGCAGGCACAGGCGCCCCGGGAGCGGGCAGTCTGCTGCTAGGCACCGCGCTGCCTGCCCCTGCTCCGGGAGACGGGCGGGAGCAGCTCCTTTGTCTCGCCCGCAGCCGGCCGTCCGCACCCCCGGCCGCCTTCTCCAGG